ATCTGCGAATTGTGGCGTGGGTGGGTCGTAGGTTGAGCGGGGAGGGAGGGGGGGTTGTTCCGTCCTGTGGAAAATGTTTATTATACGAGGCATAGATACACAGTTTTAACAATGATCCGATTACAAAACTTTTCGGGTTGAGCAAACGATAAAACGAAACATACATGCTTTATTTTTGCATAAATGTCACATATTATACGAGTGCAAGCAGTGGCACAGAGTTAAATTTGAATTCGTGCGGTCGTATGCAGGGCGAGGCATGGCGAGGTAAGGCAAGGAGAGGTAAGGTAAGGCGAGGCAAGGTAAGGTACAGGTGAACCTCGTCGTGCCCTTCGCATAACATCACCACCCCTCTCATCGAACCCCGACCAGGAATTATTTCGTGTTGTTCAGTGCCCACCGAGTGCAAGGGTTGTTAAACGTCACCATAGTATACCAACATATATAGTGCGACGATGGATTCGGTAACATCAAAAATCGATTTGTCGAGTATTTCTCGTCGTTTGGAAACGTTACAGTTACACATAAAAATGACCGGAGGGGTTTATTTGGTAAACACGAGTTTAAATGTATACCTATATATATAGTGGGTGTTCAATATTTTAACGGCCTATAAATTTTATTTGAAGAAATTAAATTCTAAAAAGTTGACATTTGCTACAGGTAAATTTGTTCGTAATTTCGTTATTATGCAATTATTATTGTTTTTAATTTGATCAGTTTTTTGCCAATAATAATTACTAGCAGCTGGGATTTGTATGAATCTCGTTAAAAAATATCGAAAACATTAATCTTATAAAATAATATACCGGATGATTCTTTTATCAAACAACACTCAATATATCAAAAAACTTTTTTGAAAATATTTTCTTACATGCTTTCAAGGCGCTTATAAAACAATTCTTTTATAAAAAATTATATTTTTAAACATTTTTTATCCTTATAATTTTTTATGTTTTTACTTTTTTGAATGACAATATAGGGTTTTAATTTTATATTCTAAAGTAGAATATTTTTCTTAGTATTTTGATACATTTTTTTTTTTTTATTATTTATTTTTATTTGGCATAAACAATCTATACTATTTGAAGCACAATAAGTTTATATGATAAGAGTAATTATAGAACATGATTATTTTGAATAAGCAGCCACCCATTAGTGGTTCTTGGCTAATGAAATTTTTTTTTTTTTTTTTAATTGTTTATATTATTATTATTCAGAGTTAGACATTAAAGTTTTGTAAAAGGTCACTTTCTTTTTAACCTTTTTAACTTTTGGGTTTCCTGGGAGTGTAAGGATAGAAATTTCTTTTATAAGAGGATTTGTATGATTTTGAAGTCGTTTATGGAAACGTGTATAAAAAATGTGTGCTTCCGCTTCTATTGTTCTCATACAGAGATCGTTGTGAAGGGCTAGATTAGATATATAGGGGGGAGCATTGGACAATCGTCGGAGCGAAATATTTTGGAATGTTTGGATTCTGTTAATATTTGATTTTTTTGGCGCACCCCATAATTGTAGTCCATACGTCCACATTGGCTTGAGAAGAGATTTGTAGATTAGTAGTTTGATGTTAAGGGGGGAACACTTATTTCTAATTAACAGGGGTCTGAGAATACGCATGCGATTATTTAAGGATAGCCTTTTGGATTGAAGGTGGTTTTTCCACGTCAGTCTTTTGTCAAGGATTAGCTAAGTATCTGACCGTGTCGGATGTGGGAATTGGTATGTTGTTAAGGGTGATGTTTGGGCATATTCCTTGTTTAAGCGTGAATGTTGTGTGTACCGATTTATTTTGGTTAATTTGGACACGCCATTTTTCATACCACTTAGACAAGTGATTGAGATGCATTTGTAAGTTTGATGATGCAGTTACAGGATCTTCATTGATAGATAAAATGACTTTATCATCGGCATAATCAGCTACGATAGTTTGTCGCATGGTGGGTTGGTCGGCTACGTAAATGTTAAAGAGAAAGGGTGAGAGTATTCCACCTTGTGGTACACCAGCTTTGATTGGTGCGATTCCGGACGTCGACGAGTTATATTGGACTTGAAAGTGTCTATCAGTTAGATAAGATTTAATTAGTAGAAATAATGACGAAGGGAGAAATTTTTTAAGTTTGAATTGCAAGCCTTCGTGCCAAACCCGGTCGAAGGCTTGGGAAACGTCAAGAAAAACACAAGAGCAGTAAAGTTTTTTTTCCAGAGACGCAGAAATAACATCGACAACACAATGAACTTGATGTATCGTACTATGTGCGTTGCGGAACCCAAACTGCGTGTTTGGAAGTATGTTGTTACTAATAATATGCGGTAATAAGCGTTTTAAGATAAGCCTTTCTAAAATTTTTGACAGGAAGGGCAAGAGGCTTATTGGTCTGTAAGATGATGGAGTATCAAGTGGCTTATCAGACTTAGGGAAAAGAATAATTTTTGAGAAATTCCATAAAATCGGAAAATATGACAGTCTGAGTATAGCATTAAATATATATGTTATAAGAACTATAGATTTTTTGGGGAGGCACCTAGCTACTTCAGCCGTTATTAGATCGAAGCCGGGTGATTTTTTTAGTGTGTATTTTTGGATGGTTTGTTTAACTTCATTTGGGGTGAAGTGTTTTTCAGGCCGACTGATTGGAGATGGAAGGTTTAAATAGGTGTTTACCTCAACTATGTGATTGGGTGTAAGTATATCATGATGCGGTTGAAACGTGTCGTGAAGATGATCTTTAAAGACTTCAGCCTTATCAATGTCAGAGAAGGCAAATGAAGTATCGGGTTTCTTTAGAGGGATTGAGGGAGATTTATACAGAAGTAATTTTTTGGTTTCTCTCCATAAACTTCCATCTGAAGAGGAGAGTGTGGTCAGTTTTCGTTCGTACATGTCGGATTTGTTTTTAGCCAAGCATTTTTTTAGTGCATATGCTAATTTATTATAAGCGCTTTTATGCGTGGGTAGTCGTGAGATTTGATAACGAGCCCTTGCTCTACGTTTTTCAACTATTAGTGAGCGTACCTGTTCAGAGAGAAAAGGGTAATTATGTAACGAGTTTTTGGTGGTGTTTGAGGTGTTTGATATAGAAGCCGCTAATTGATTTTGATACATGAAAATCGAATTTGGAGCCAGTAGTGTATGAGTTAGAAGTATTTAAAGTTTAGTCGGGAGGAGCGGAGTGGTTCGGGGTTACCCCGCCAAATATTTGTCCACTTCACCACTCATCAAACTTTGAATAGTTATAACTCATAAACTACTCAAACCAAATTCGATTTTCATGTATCAAAATACTAAGAAAAATATTCTGCTTTGGAATATAAAATTAAAACCCTATGTTGTCATTCAAAAAAGTAAAAAACATAAACAATTATAAGGATTAAAAATATTTAAAAATATAATTTTTTAATAAAAACGTTGTTTTATAAGCGACTTGAAACTATGTAAAAAAATATTTTCAAAAAAATTTACACTTTTTGAAATAATGAGTGTTGTTTGATAAAAGAATATTCTTAGTTATCGTGTCAAGTTTTCATTATTAGATTAAAAATGTATACTTAATTACGTGTCATCTGAAATTAAAATTGATTAATAATTCGAAGAAAATTGCAACAAATATAATATTTTATGATATTTTCATAAGTTTATGTTTTATTTATTTGATATATTGATCGTTGTTGTGGGCGCCAGAGGACAAATATGGTACCTAAGCCATGTAATAAATGATCATAGTTTTTAAATCTAGTAAAGTTAATTAGTGAAGTGATGTTACTATTTTAATTTCGTTAAAATGAGTAATATAATAATATGTAGGTACACGTGTATGATATGATGATCGCTTGGTACAGTTTATCAGTTCTCATAGGGTTACATTATAAAAATGAATTGTAATTTATATATTTGAATATAATATTATAAATACAATATTTTGAATTAAATTACTAATATATACCAACATCAGTTTATTTCTTACAGGTAGGTAAATCGTTTTGAACTTTGGTCGCAAGCTACATACATTTGAGTAAGTTTAAATAATAAACTAGTTGAAAAAATTATTACATTAATTATTGCGTTAGGGGTTTGTCAAAACAGTAAGCTACTTATTCAGTTTCGAGAAAACAAAAATACGAACGGTTTAAATTTGGCAAAATATTGTTGTGTACCTAATCTATTTTTCTTTAACTTTATCATCATTCAAAAATAAAGAAATGATTAAGAATACTCGAAATTCATCACTTTAGTTTGTACAACTGTCGTATAAGCCTCTTTAAATTTTCGATGTTGTTATAACGGCGATGACGTATATAATAGCAATCTCTGAAGATGAATATTTGGCAATTGTTTTGAGTACCGGGCGTTACTAATAACTTTGTTTGAGTTTAGCAAAACTATAAAAAAAAAAAAACCAGTAAGTAGTTTATCTTGATAAATTAAATTTATGATTTGAGTTTATTTGTTTGAATTTAAATTATTCTTAGTGTATATTTTATGTTGTATATTTTGTAAATACACGGGAATCGTTTTGTTTGTATATGCTAAATATAATATTTAACGTAATATAGGAACTATACCTTTGACACGATCTGAACAAATTACATTTTATGCACATCGCACACTCTGTTTGATATATTTTTGCAATACGACCCAATAATAACTATTGTACAAATAATTCAACTGGCCAAAATGCCCAATTCACTTGTATCAATATTGAACATCGTGGTTCATTATTGTCTACGTAATTTACAAACTGCAGTTTTTATCTACAGCTCTAGACATGACATTATAATGCGATATAACCTCATTACCACAATGTTAAATTATTTATATTTAATATGTTATAACTATATTGCCTGTAAAAAAAATTCTCTTAGATTGGTGTAAAACACACTTCTTACAAATTACTAGGACTACTGCTAGCAATCGAGTTCCGTCGGATTTGACCAGCGGTAGAACGAAAGTAATTGAGTTATAGTTTAGTGCTACAATGTAGTTGAAAATTACTTACATGGTCGACATTTATAATCGACTTGAATGAACTTTGGGTGGCCTGGACAAGGATCGTATTTGCCCACAGATGGCTGAACTCTGCATTGCTGTTTTTTCTGACACGCCTCTACCACAGTCTGCAGCAGCGAATACTATAATAACATAACAATAAATTACCTCCACATCATAATTGAAACGTTTGAAACAGCTATATAGGGTGATCTGAAAAGGTGTTTTGTATTTGACGGGATATTGTTTTTTTTTTTTTTTAATATGCAATTCGAAACCACCAAAACAGTGCCAAACTAAAATACACGTTCAACGTCTCTGAGATTGTATTGAAATATTATACAATGTGATATGATTATATCTATTTATTTGCAAGAAGGCGGGTAATATATTACAGAAGTCATATTATAGGGAGTATATTAAATAATTAAAGTTCAATAATTGTATGGAGAAATAAACATATAATATACATACTAATATGATAAATAATTGATGATAAATAATGTATATATAATAAAAGTTTTAAAGTATTAATTTAAATTTCTCTCATAAAATCGTTTTGAATAATATGACATTATAATAACATCATAGTGGATTACGTTAGACGCCGTCGATCAATTTCTTATCAAATATTAATATAACGTAAATACATTTCGTATCTATCACCGTGTATGCAATTTAAATTCGCTAATTTTCATAACTCGTAAGTAACCTATTGTTTTAGTTGATAAATTTAAAAAAAAAAAATTTCAAGAACAGTTTGAGTTAAATTGTTTGTTTTTATATACATACAAAAAAAAGTATGTATAGTTTTAATTGAATCATATAAATTGTAGTGTTTTAAATCTACAATAAGATGTTATAGGTAGGTAATTTTTATAACTCGTAAGTAACCTATTGTTTTAGTTGATAAATTTAAAAAAAAAAAATTTCAAGAACAGTTTGAGTTAAATTGTTTATTTTTATATACATACAAAAAAAAGTATTTTTCATTGAACCATATAAATTGTAGTGTTTTAAATCAACAATAAGATATTATAGGTAGGTATACAACTGTACATTGTACATAATATTTATGTAATATTTCGGTAATGTCATAAATATATATTTCTATTTCACTTGCAGTTGTGCAAACCTTTTAATTACCTACAAATGGAATATTATTGTAATTTTATATATTCGTCTGTTATTGTAACATAATCGCCATTCATTAAATACGTTTGACCTGTAATTTACAAATTCACAATGCCTTACGGTTTGCTCTTATCGAAACTATCCAGTCATATTATTTTGAATCCTCTATCAACAATGGTAGTTTTATTATTTAGCTAGTATGGTAAGTAATTGTATTACGATTATTGCGTTTTATATTATTATTATAATTATAATCATATAAATTTTGTTTTTTTTTTTCATCCGTAGCTGTATAGACAAATGATGTATACGAAATTGCAATAGTGAAAAAGTATAAAATAAATATTCATTAACTATGTGTAACTTATTTTATAATAGAAAAAATTTGAATATTCTGGCATTTGTACATTGTAACGTTATTTTTTAAATTCAAATCTTTTAATTCAATTTTTAAATACACTTTTATTTAATAGGAATTATTCAAATTTTTTTTATTATTTAACCGGGAAGTCACATTGAATAATATTAATGTATATTTCGCTCTTCTTCTTCCTTTATATTATACCTTGAGAGAAGCTAGGAAAGAGAATTTTTTTAATTTCGTTTTGTTTATTATTATATTTTTCTGTTGAAATAGTGTCTCAAGCCTTTAAATGATAAATATTGACCTATGCATTTTCTAACCAGTGACGCCTAATGCAAAAAAAATTACTTTCAACTTTCAATTTTTCATATTTTAAATAATTACATATAAAATAAAACAATATACAGCTATAAATAATATTGTAATACATTATATTGAGGAAATAATTGGAAATATATAAAAAAAAACAATGAAATGTATCTTATTTGTTGTTTTTTTATAATTTTATTAGCATCTAGCATAAACTATTTTACTTCCATTTTGTTATTTTTAGATATGTATTATGCTGGAGAAAGGAAGCAAAATGTTTAAAGACATTTTCTTTCATTGGTCTATACTGTCTAAAATATTTGAAACCACTAAACTAGATATAATATTGTGTTTGAACCGACAACATGAAAATATACATTTTAAATTTTATCAGTAGGTAGTTCCCACGAGTGTAAGGAAGAACGACCATCAAATTGCAATCAAATGGTGAAATTCACACCATAAACTGATTAGGTACAGTGAGTTTAATCAAAACACAGTAGTTTATATAAAGGTATTAGTTTTTATAGAAATTTATAATAGATTTAAAATACAATTTTACTCGTTTTTACTTTTACTATAATTAATAAATTAGTTTTCAAGTATTCTACAAATTTCAAACGCTGAATGCTCATTGCTTTTCTTGGTAAATATTTCGGTGTATATTGTAAGTAGATAACCGTGGTAGATACTAAGTATATATTTTATGGTATGCGCAAAAATCAAACATTATATTTTTGTATTACTCTGGTTAGGATGAATATTGTACTAAAATACCAAAATGACATTTTGACACTTCACTATAAGAAATGTGCCTGTTGACAAATCCTTATGTTCGATAATATATGTAAAATATACATTGTACCTACGACATTTGCATACACACATACACCTAAACTCGCGCAAATGCCTATACGAAATACGATGTCGCGTCTAGTAAGCATTTCAACTTTCAAGGGATTTTTCTAAGAAAATTCTGACATCGATGTGTTGAAATAAATCTCAGGTCTGCTAAAAAAATAAAATACTGTAATGCAAAAAGAAAGTGATTTTGTGTTTTAAAGTTTAGTGTTCCGGATGACAGCCGAAATAAGTCTGGTTTTGTTTTGGATATTTAAAATGTCGCTATCTGCTTATAATTACAATAACGGTGCCTATATAATTATTAAACTTGAAAATGTAGTTAAAGAATATGTAGTTGTATGAATGTTTAAGAACATATTTTTTTTCTGCAGATTATGTACAGGGGACATACAGATGAACGGAGACATCGAGTTTTGTGCTTCGTAAACAAATCTATTTGGCGTAAATGAAAGAGTCAGAAATGGTGAGAGTAGATAAAACCATTAAAATTGGTATTAATATATTTTAATGCACAAATTGAAAATTACAACTCACGATTAAATGATCCATAAGTAGGTATGTATAACGATACTATCAGTTTGACGTGATATTTCTCCAATCCTTTAATATTATAAATACATGATTGATATATGACTCACAACTCTTTAATAGTTTAATCAATAATATTAACCAGAGTAGTTAATGCATTTTTTTAACTTCTGATTTTTTAAGTATGAACATAATATTATTTTCGAATACTTCGGTTTTTATGACAATTCAGGAGTGTTCTGTGATAATAGAACTACTAGTGTTGAACCATCTTTTTTACTTAAAATTATATTAACAAATTATTCCTTTAAAAAGGTTTGAAATAAAATAGAAAATGGATGTAATATTAGTCTAATACTTATAATTATACTCGGACAGTTCTTACTAGGTAATCATTGAACGTTAGTAAAATAATATTAATTGATACAGTTTTCAAACCATCTATATCCCAAATCTATATAATTATGATCTAAACCTATTATCATGGGTTATATATAACTTTAAACTACAACTTGAAATATTTATTTAGATGCATCAACATTTTAAAAAAACCATCGGAAAACAATTAACTGTAAAAACATTCCCATTAAAAAAAAAAAGGTTGTACACTGGACACTGATTAATTAGAACGAAGAAGTCTAAGTTGGTATTTAAAATATGGTTATCAAGCAGCCTAATCAACGATTCCAATAATCAGAATTCGAATGGATGCATACTTAAAGGGTAAAAGTGATAGAGGATGATTGGTGAATTACTCTGTACACTGCAGTAAGTTTTACACAAATCTAAAATATTTTTTTTATCTCTTGCAAAAATGATGTAAACAAACTTCTCGAACATAATATTTAATTTTTACTCTTATCGTTTACCCCATTGTTTCATTGCATGGATTTTATCAACTAACGTTGAATACACTTAAATTTTACGACGGTAATTATGATGGTAATGATAAAAGCTATGAAACAAAATTGAAAAAGTAAAAGATTTAGGTATTAAAAAAAAAAAAACTTTCTTAAAAACTTGCTCGTCAACGCTAAATGGTAAAATGTTGTAATTTACAATTGTTGTCGAAAATGTTTGATTCAATATGAAATTATGAAATACAATTCACAATTTTGAGTAAACACGTTTATTGTTTATTAAATTAGAACCATAAAATATAAACTATGATAACTAACATATTGTTGTATTTTTATATCTGAATTGATCTAATTACATTCAATAATACTTGACACGATAATTATAGTTTGTTTGATACCTATTGGGTTTTTAATGATTATTTCGCTAAAAAAAATTTACTTGTAAAATACAGGTGGTGTTCATAAATCATATAATAGCATTGAATAATAATATTCATGTTTGGTAATCAATTGTTATATAAGACAATATTGTATAGCTTGACAGTGTAATTTACTGTACTAATAGTTTTTAATTCATGTGTAATGTTATATGGAATCAAGAGATAAAATATATTTTTTTTTATTCGATTCAACAAGTAAATAATATTATGTACGATTATTAATGCCTCTATTTCATGTTACTCATTATTACTGAGTCAATATATTTCTGTTTTATAATTTGCTATTTATACAACTCACAAATAATTTATCGTAAAAACCAACAGTAAGTATATTATATAAGGACGATTCTTATTACTATGGCGCCATTAAAATAATATATTTACTTAACATACTTATTACATACTCTGAAAGTATGATCAGTGAATACATTGTACAACATTAAGTTAACGCGTAATTAAAACAATAAATGTGTCAGCCGAAATTACGGAATAATACGTAGACGTTTATATTATATTGGACTTGGTGTGGTTACACTATGTAGGTATTTTATATTATTTAAGTTTCTACGTCAAAAACTTAATTTAATTTGATTTATTTATTTAGCACTTTATATTATATGAAATATGGTAGAAAAAAGTTTGAA